CATACTCCTATTTTGAGAGTAGTAGGCTGTGTTAACTGCTTCAGCCCAGAACCTCTTTGGTAAGGAAGCTTCTGCTAGCATGGTTCTCACTGCTTCCTTCAGGGTTCTGTTCCTTCTTTCAGCTACACCATTCTGTTGAGGTGTCCTTGCTGCAGATGTCTGATGAAGAATTTCGTTTTCTTCACAGTAGTGAATGATGATTTCATTCAGGAATTCTGTGCCTTTGTCAGATCTAATCTTCTGAATGGTCTGACTTGCTTGGTTTTGAATCAGCTTCATGCAGTTGGTGAGTTTCCCTTGAGTCTCCTTCTTGCTGTTGAGGTAGATTGTCCACGTGTATCTTGAGTAATCATCAACTACCACCAGGACATATTTCTTTCCACTTAGACTTATTGGTGTAACAGGGCCAAATAAGTCCATGTGAATAAGACTTAATATCCTTGTAGTTGAGGGTGCCGATTTTGCCTTGAAGGTGGACTTGACTTGCTTTCCTTTTTGGGAAGCATCACAAATGCTTTCCTTTCTGAATGCAGCTTTGGGAAGACCTTCTACCAACTCTTCTTTGGACAGCTTGTTGAGGGTTTTGAAGTTGAGATGACTCAACCTCTTATGCCAAAGCCATAGAAGGTTAGTGTCACCTTTGCTGATTCGACATGCTTCCTTGACATCGCTCCATATTACTTCATAGATGTTTCTGATTCTCTTCTCAGTGAGAATGACTTCATTTGTGGAGATTTTCTTGAGAGATGCCATGTCCTTGCAGAATTCCAAGGAGTAACCTTTATCACAAAACTGACTTATGCTAAGAAGGTTGTAATTGAGCCCTTCAACATAAGATACAGCTTGGATGGTTAGTCCCTTGTACACCAGATTTCCTAGCCCTTGAGTAAGGCCAAAATCATTGCTTCCTCCAAAGGTAACTCTTGGACCATCATAGGGAATTAGATTGCTCAAAAGGCTCGCATCACCCGTCATGTGTCTTGAACAGCCACTGTCTAAGTACCAGACACCTGGGTACTTAGTCGCTTCCTGCATTAGGAGGAGGAAGATTTTGGTACCCAATTAAGTTTGGGTCCGGAGTAGTTAATGGTGTGTGTCCCTACATCAAGTTTGAAGTTGCAGGGAATCTTCCTTGCAGCTCTAAACTTGTTGGGATTGTAATCATAGTTGTAGGCATAAAACTTCCTACGTGCAGGAGGTGTTATTTCATGTTTCCTCCTAGCAAACCTCGGTTGATAAGACCTGTAATTTTGTCTAGGTTGTGCATAGTGTGTCCTGTGTCGGTTATAAGCATACTTAGGTGGCACAAATAGCTTATGGGGTGGAGGGTGACTATATCTTGGCATAGTTCTCCACTCAGAATTTCTTGAAAAACTCCTGTCTACCCCATAATGGGTATAGCCTCGTGTATAATGGGGGTTAGAAGGTTTTCTTCTGAAATTATTCCCTTTTTGAGGTTTGTCCAGCTTCCTATAGTTCTTAGGAGGGACTACCTTTTTGGGAACTTCTGTTGGCTTTTCCTTTTCCTTCCCTTTCTGCTTATTTGGATTAGCAGTAGGTTTAGGAGGAAGGAAAGTTGTTTTCCCTTTCCTTTTGGAATTGGAGGGGTCAAACCCAAGTCCTTCACGACCCTTATGTTTGGTCGTTTCAAGAAGCTTATCCACTGCTTCTTTGGACTTGAGTATCCCTAGCTCTTTGTTAAGGGATTTCACTTTTTCAGAGAGAGATTCATTTTCAGTCTTGAGTTGAGTGATCTCATTCAGTTGACTTTTCCGACCTTCAGTCAACTTGAGATTCTCTTCACTCAATAGTTTGTTCTCCT